CTTTTACAAACACTAGTCCCCCCCCCGGAACATCTACAAATCAAACACAAGACCAAGCATCTCTCATCTTACCAATTTATTTAAAACATTCCAATATAAAAGAAAAATTACACATTTCTGAATTGCTCTATTTACAAAAACGTACATCCTTTAACATCTACACAGTTTACATGGTTGGTAGCTCACTGCAGAGGGTTACAGTCACAGGTTTGCTCGGTATCGGCCTCTCGGCTCGCTCCAGCTTAAATTAAGTCGCCGTACAGTTAATCTTCTCTTTTCGAAGGCACTAAGAAAGGACAGGCTAGTGTACAACATTTAATGAGGAACTGTAAGTCAACGACGGGTGTCACAGAGCGAAGTCATAAATAGCTTTTTTTTTTTTGCCTTTGGCAGTGATCAAACTGAGCTCATTCATCACAGACAGATTTTACATATGAACACACTTTTCTTTTTTTTTTTCTTTCCTGTACATACTAAGGCTTACCAATAAATATAAGCACTTAAAAATGAAAAAGAAAAAAAATAACTTTGCACAATTATCAAGTTTCCCAGGAATGTAACATCAGCGTGCAACCAGGTTGCAACAAAACACAAAATTAACGACGATTATTGAGCCACAAAAGGTGCGTTCAGAACACCAGCAGGTGTCGAAGCAGATCAGCTGACGGTCCTATGGCTCACGTGGCTATGAACAGTGTCTGTAGTCCATCAGGGTGTTTGTTCCTCTGGCGATACCGCAGACGCAAATCTGCACGAGGGTACATTTAATAAGACGGGGGAGGTCGACATAAAACAATTAAACTTTTAAATTCACCTGTTCAGAGTGGAATGTCATATTCACTGTAATAGAATATAGAAAACTACACATTTCCATTTTCCTGAGAATCTGACTGAAGCACCATCTGGAAGCGTTTAAGCCTCGATTTGAAGAATAGCACCAGTGAAACTCGGGTAATACCTCACAGGCACAAAATGATCAGTTTCCTCTCAAACCGAAACCTGTTCATTAAAAGAAGACGAAAGCCTGAACAGCTGGCGTCCCCACCAGCTTCTCCACCTGACATCAGTGGAGCCACTCAGGCAAAACATTTGCTTTGTCAAAGAAGCAAAAAAACATAAAAGTAAAAAACGTTTACCTGCCAAGAACCACAATTCCTGGCCATCTCCATATGAGCAGTTTTATGGAACCAAAACATAAAGACTGACAGGAATCATTAGTGTTTAAAAAAAAAACATTTAAAAAGCCAAACATTCATCTCATTCAGCTGCTGAGGTCGGAGAGGTCGGCTATCCGGGTTGGACTGTGGAGAGGTCGTCGACGTTGTGGACTTGCTCAAGGATTGGCAGGTTTCTCGGTGCTGCTGGGTGGCGTCAGGATCAGTCCCGGAGCTACAGGGGAAAGCTGAACGTTGGTGCTGTCGACCTGACGCTCCTGAGCTTTTCTCTGCAAGACAGGAAGATTCAGAGTTAGTTAGAGCAGAGCACAGGACATTTTTGGAGTATTTACAGGATTGTATGTACTGAATATTGAGGCTGCTGTTACGTTATCATATTGGAAACTTGCTGAGGAGGAGGAAGAAGAGAGGTTTGTCCACATTTATATTCCTCCAACTACGCTAATCTAAAATAGCAGCACCCTGTTTACTACTGTTGTATACTTTCTGTCTAATGTCTGTTCCAACATTTCATATTCCGCTCACCAGCAGGTCCAGATACGCCACGTGTGTCTGGATGTTGTGTCTGTCGTCAGCTTTGACTCTGGGGAAGTTCTTGAGTTGAGGTTTGGCTTCAGATCGCAGCGTGTCCATGAAGGGACTCATCCACCGGACACAGGAGGACACGCTTTCCCACGTCAGACCTGACAGATGGTACAGACGTCAGTTTAAACCCAATTTAAACCACTAAACATCATACTGAGATAAGCTCAGAGCTACAACGACAGCTCAGAAACCTACCTGAGACTTTATGAACAACATCGAAGGTGGAGAAGTGGCAGAAGGCGGCTGCAGCAAGAACGCTGTAGCTGAAGTCCAACGAGCTGATGTCCATTATACACAAGTCCAGGAGCTGCAACACACAAGTACAGGTTTTGTTTTACTTCAAGCATCCTGGATCAAATAGTTAAAAGATCACATGCTTCCATCTGTGCAACAGAGGACAGGACGTCTTCTAGGATGAACACAGCAGAGCATTTATAATGTGCAGCAGGCGTGGACGTACCTGTGTGATCTGGATGTACGTTTCCTGGGAGAACTGTGGCTCCAGGAAGTTTTCTTCATCTTTTTGGGCTTCAACCTGAGCGTACAGCTTCAACCAGGAGATGGGCGTCTCGGGACACAGGTTCCACTCCAACGCCTGCAGGACAACGGGAGCAACGTTCAGGTCAACACGGGAACAGGAACACAAACTGGGGTCGCGCACAGCTAACAGTGTAGCATGCTAAATACTCTTGACAGTATGTACAACAGTTCCTAAAACAAACCACTGAACACAGGTGAGTTTTTGTGCTAACGTACCTTCAGTAGGTGAAGCTCCGTGCGCTGAATGTCCCACATGTCACAGGCTCCATCTGTGACGTAGGCAAACTCGTAGATTTTGGGAGGGTAGATTTCCTGGAGAGAGGCGAGAAGCAAAGTTAATCGAGTGGAAGAGTTACTCAGATCACAGGACGCCTGATCTGTGTGTGCAGCAGCAGCGCCTTCGTGGACAAAGAGGAGGAGGAGCTCACCTCTATCTTCGAGGCGATGAAGAGCGCAGTGATGCCGATGAGCTGCAGGTAGTCTTTGTTGACGTTCTCCTGAGTGAGCATGAAGCGGTCGAAGTAGTCCTGAGCGAGGTACGCCGTCTGCCTGTGGAGGCTGTACACCTCACTCACCTGCACAAACACACAGATACAGTTTAACCTCAGCACTATTTAACATGGTGGCAACTGCAAAAGTTTATAAAACAAAATACAAAACTATGCTGTAACTCACCTCAAGCAGCCAGTCCAGCAGGATCGCCCTCATCTTGGGCTGCAGTTTGGGATGCTGCTGCAGGTAGCTCTTGTCGTGAACGTACTTCAGCTCCTTGTTGAGCATCTTGATCCACACGTCGTCTGAACTGGCCCAGCTGGAAAAGAGAGAGACCGGGTTTTACCATATGTAGCACCAAACACAGAAAAGCAGCTTTAATGCTCCATTTGTGGTTGGTTCTGACTGTGTTTTTAATCAGGACTGAGAATCGTCAAATACATTTTTATCTAGAAAAGCATCTTTATTTATGGACTTATCACATTGTTGGCACTACTTTCATGCTGTAATTAAATTAAGATATTCATCATTAAACATGATCAAGAAGAAAGATGGTTCCATGGAGTTTAGGTTTATACAAATTAAAGACAACCAATTTATTCAAGATCCACATGTGAGCTCTACATGGACTCGAGCCTGTAAAAGCTGCAGTCTAGACACAAGTATGGCTATTGTTCTAGCGAATGAGTTTAAAGACTACGCCCTGCATTCAGTGTGATCAAACATAATCTAATCAATTCAGCTCAAAGAAGTCAAGTTTCGGGGTCGCTCTACCCCACCCGGTACTCATCTCCGAGTACCGGGTGGGGTAGAGCGACCGTCCGGCAACAAAAGAGAACAACTCAGCGTGAAGCGTAGAGAAACGACGGCCTCATTGACGTGTAAAAGACACTCACCTGAGGCGAGGAATGGGGGAGGCCTTGATGAAGAGGTTCTTGAATCTGTACTGTTTGAAGCTGGACGGGTCTGCCGGTTCCATCTCTTTGTGGGGAGTTTCGATGAGAACGCACGGACTCGCTCCATCGTCCGACCAACACTTCTGAAACACAGAAACACAAATGTGGATTTTAGAAACACAGATTCCCAAAAGGAAGTCAGAATTACATTCATCCGATAGGACAAGAAGGAAAATCTAAATTGAAGAAAGTGGCTCCAGTGCTTCACAAGTTACTGGATTTATAGCCATGATAAGCAAAAGACAACTTCAACAATGATCGTCTTTGGGTGGATGGTTCTGCTCGTCTTTCATCGCCCCGTTTTATATTTTACTCATTGAATTCTGTTCACGTTTCTGATTTAAAGGTTTAAGGAAAAGTACATTGATTATAGTTGTATTTAAAATGTGAGTCATTGAGCAAAGTGCACCAAGCGTGGAGTTCAGATATAAATTCATCTCAACAGTGACACCTTCTGTTCATGAGGAGGTACTGCATCATGTCACTGCTGAAAAGAAGTACTTAAGTTTTTTAGCAGACTGACCTCATCCAGATAAATTTGCCACCAAAACCAACTTAAGGTACGTTTATCCAAAATACAGTAAGGGATTTGGAACAGTAACAGGAAAAAAACAAATAGAAGTAACTGATAAATATCAGTATTCTTGAAAAAACAAGAAGAAAACAAAATGGACGCTCTGCATAGAGAAGACCCCTAAGCAAGGAGCTTTCCTGTCATTTATGATAAAACTGGAGTTTAAAGAAAGAAAGAAAAAAAAGGGCAGGACACACTGGAAGGCAGGGCAGTCACGAGATACAGATAATAAAGCTTTAACACCACACATATCCTGGGCTGAGTTCTTATCAGTTGTAAACACACACACACAATCATTTGGAGCTGACAAGCTGAGACACTGACCTGTATTTCATAGTTTTGTTTCTTTGCAGCAGGTTGTAGTTTCTTCTTAGAAGGCTGAGGAAGAAAATAAACAAGTGAGTCGAAGCTACCGACGACAAAAGGAAAACAAAACGGTAAATAATCTAAGAAAGCCTGCTGTTAGTAAGCAGACACAAAGAAAACAGCAAGACAAACGTACCTCTGACTTCCTCTTCTTCAGCGGGACTTTGATGGTTGGCTCAGGTGTGTTTGAATCTCTGGCTTGAAGTGTGATGCGACCGCTGGGGGAGGGGAAAAAAAAAGATATATCAGCATTTGTGTTTGAATGAAGAATTGATTTTAAACTACAGGTTCATTAACAGTTAGTGAAACTGAATCGTGACTAAACTTGAGATGATTACGTTTACATTTGATGGATTCTCTCAAGTTGAATAGCGTGTTGTTATTCCTGATTTTACATGATTAAGTGACCATTATTCTCATAGATTAATCGTCAACTCGCTTGAGTGCCTAGAAGACGTTCCACCTCTCATCCAAGAGGCTTCATCAGTTCTGGCTGAGTAGTTGGGAGTTCCAGATACTTAAGGAGCCATTAACACCTGAGTTTTGGTTTAAATGGGTTTGGGGTGGGGTAGGGATTAATCTACGAGGATAATCATGACCAGGATGACTGAGAATCTTCAGACAAAGGACCACTGGCTCTAGAAAACTGCATAGTTTTTACTGTTGTTTCACCAAACCCTTAAAATAGTGGGGGGAAATAATTACACTCAATACTAAAAATCCATTTTAGAACCAGATGAGACAAAGTGAGCTTCTGCCATCACTCCACAAATCTTTGTTTTACACAAATACAGCGTTTAGTCTCAGGAGGGAAGCACAACGTGTGACTCTGATGACCCATACATTTGCAAGTTTTCATATGAGGCCTTAAGCCCCATCACAAAGTAAAGGAGGGCAGTTCCTCTTTACAGTGAGGCCTCATGAAGCCCCCCCGACCAGACTTTGAGGACAAACACCAACAGCTGCTTACCTGCGTCTGGACATGGTGATCACTGTGTTTATGGCTCCGCTGCAAAGAAAAAAAAGAGGGAAAAGGGTGAGATTTAGGCACAACTGTATTATTGCACACACTTGGGAGAACTGTAGGGAGCTTATGTAAATAGTATCGGGGCTATTGTAGCTGGAACCATTTCATAATTTGTCAAAGATTCAAGGGGGCCCTCATCAGTCCCAATAATCAGAGTACATGTTCCAGGGGAGTGAGGCTTTATGTGACAAACATCTAAAATAATGTTCTAAAGAGCCCAGCTTTCTCCTGAAAACTCCTGGAGGATTCACAGACGGTCCAAAATATAACAGATCACATTTTACAGGCCCAGTTTGAATCTGGGTAAAACTTGGTGGTTAGCTTAAGATAACAGAGGCAGTGTTAGCTTGTGACCTCCAATAAAGAGAGCCACAGCAGCTCGACACAACAATAACCGAAGACTGGCAGAGCTGAAACAGCACACGTAAAGGTCACTAAACACACCATCTCGTAGTAAAGAGGTGTAAATAGTAAAGAAAGGGGATAAACACAGAGCTAAACCAGCCAGCCAGGTTCTCTGAGCAAGTGTGGCAACTGCAGCCAAAAGGAGGGGGGCTGGCTGCTCCCTCGATTTTAAACAAAAAAAAGCTCAAAAATACCGCATTTCAACTGAAATCCCTCATCTTCAGCGATGCAGCACACATCTCCAATCGTGTTTAGTGTAGTTTGAGGGAGTGAAATCGCCCGAATATGAACTTTATCGAAGGATTGAAACTCAAAGACGCGCCAATTTCCGCAGCTCAGAAGCGGGAGGATTTCAGCCCTGCCTCCCCAAAGCTGCTCCCAAGTCTGCGGGGGAAAACTAGTGGAAATGGCCGCTAAAGACAAACCATACGGACATTAAACAGCTCTAAACTGCCGGCAGACGCTCTCAAGAAGCACATATCCAAAGATAAACCTTCCAAACGGCCATTAAGCGCCAATAAAGTCGGGGGAAACCGAGGCCACCGCGAGGCTAAGCTGTGGAGGGGAGCTACTGTAATTAGCAAACCTAGCCCTAGCTCAAACCTAGACTGCTAACTAGGTCAACAATAACCAGCTAACCACGACAGGCACAAAAACCAGTGATATATAACTTCTGTCTTTATACAGCTGAATAGTTGCTAGCTTCAGAAAAAACGGGAGACAAAGCAAAAGACGAGCAGAAAAAGACGACTTTGAGTTTTAAAGTTACAGGAGCAGCCCCAGTGTTTGTATAGATAAGCTCCACCAAAACCCCGGATTCCCACTAAAACACACGTCTTGGCCCAAATGCAACTTTTACCTGTGGCAAAGCAGATTGAACTAGAAGTGGAAACCGCCTTAAATGATGTAAAAAGACGAGTTAAAGACTAACATAAGGCTGCAGTCAATCGCATGTCCAGATTTAAGTCCATTTGGCATCAAACTGCGCCCGAATTATGGCGATTTAAAGTCGAAACTCACATCACAAACTACAAGAAAGCTTTAAAAAATAGCAGTAACCTATTCCTAAAGTGTAAATATAAGTATAAGTGTGCGCCCCTGCTCGGTGGTCTTACCTCCTCAGTGAAGAATGAATGAATGCATCAGCTGTGGCGCCGGCGCCAATCCTTATATCCGCATCTGCTCCCACCGCCACTGCGCATGCGCGTTCCCGGTTCACAGAAACGCGCTAAATGTTTAAATACGAACCGAGATTTTTTACAAACGAGCAACACGGAGCTGTTTAAATGGGACTGTTTTACTCGTCTCTGCGATTAAAAATCACATTACTCACGCTGGGACTTAGTTAAACGGCTTATTCACAGCGTTGCACCGGAGCTTACATTGATTTCTAACGGACGCCGAACCGCAGGAAGGTTTTATTAAGAAAATACCGATTTCCGTACGTTCCGGTTAAACTTTAACGACGCGTTGGACGATAACAAGTCGTCCACGGGAGGATATTAGTCACAATTATCATTCTTTGCGGCGTTATTTTAGTGTTTTTTGCGCGGCTTCGAAAGAGCTTCCGTGTATGAATCCCGCCTGTGGGAGGAAACTCCGTGACGTCAAGCCAATGAGAAGGAGAGCAGCGGCGCCCGCGTGCTGCAACTGCAGAATGTAAACAGAAGGAGCACGTGGAGCTGCTGTCAACCAGAGCTGCTGCTGACATGTGGGTTTATTTCAGGTTTGAACAGCCTAACAGAGCATGTGCCCGAAATATTAACGTTTATTTTTTAAAAAGGTAAATAAAATGAACACAATTAGATCAAAAAGGGCAGAGGAAGATTTAAAATTAATCTAAAGTGGCACGAAATAACCACAAAGAGATGTAAAGACGGCAAACGACTACAGAGAGATGCTAAATGATAATAAAAGGATGTAAAATGACCATAGAGACGTATTGCACAACTAGATAAATACATCTTACAACTACAAAGAAACTACAAAACAACCACGAAAAGACCCAACACAATCAGATAAAGAAAAACGCTGCCACAGAGAGATACTATGACCACAAAGCTGTGCAAAATGACCACAAACAGGCTCAAAACAGTTGCATAAAACACCAAACAAACACAGGGGGGTATTAAACGGGCATAAAGAGATGTAAAATCACCACAAAAAGATGCAAAGTGGCCAGAAAGAGATGCAAACTGACCCAAGCAACTCCACAGAGACACTAAAAGACTACAAACAGATATAACATGACCACAAAGGAACTACAAAACACATAAAATGACCATAAGGAGAGATAATCTGTCTAGGGAGAGAGGTCAGATGATCACAGTGGAACCCAAAGTGATTACCGAGACTCAAAGAGTTGTAAAAACGTGACAAATAATTGCATCAAGACTAAATTTGACCTCAAAGAAATGTAAATTCCCTCAAAGGATGTAAAATGACCCAAAGCAGACCAAAAATGGGGAAAAAATACATGTAAAAAACCTATAAAGAGACATTAAATGACTACTTAGAGATGTTTAATCACTGCATAAAGACATAAAGCAACCACAAAGAGGTATACAATGACAACACAAGGGACAAAGTGGTCAGAAAGAGATGTAAAATGTCAACACCACAATGCAAAGCAACCACAAGAAGACGCAAAGTAATTGCAGAAAGATACCAAATGACTGCAAAGCTACATAACATGACCACAAAGACAGATAAAGCCACCACAAGACATGTAAGTGACCTGAAATGAGACATGTATGGGCAAGACAGAGATGTGAAAAGGCCACAAAGGCATAAAATGACCACCAAAACTCAAAAAGAGACACAACACAACAAAGAGACAAAAGCTACCAGAAAGAGATGCACAATAACTAACAGATGTTCAACAGTTGCAAAATGTGTTCAATTAATCCTTTAGCATCTTTATTTATTTTTAGTTTTATTGAAATTGTGCATATCATCATGGTTTAACTTTGGTATTTTACTAGTGTCTTTATGTGACTTGGTCTCCAAACCTATGTTATCATCCTGTGTGTTCGTCGACCACTTTGAATTGCATCTGACCTTTCTCAAAAGTAAATAAATAATAAAGTTCAATTTATTTATTGGTACAAGTTTTAAAGTGTAAAGGTTTTATGCTTGCTGATGCCGTGCTGCTGCTGTTTGTTGTTACTGATTCGTATTGTCATTACTTGTTTTTCGAAATATGCGGTAAAACCAAAGTCACAAGCTACCATAAATAATGACGTGAAGAAATACCGTGTTCTTTCAGACAGACTGGGGTCTTTCGGTCAGAAAGTTCAGGACCCAGAGACATGTGGCGGTATCCAGGGCGAGTAGGAGGAGTTTCTCATTAATATATATCAGTAAAATTCAGAGAGAAGGAAATAAATAGTGGGATCAGTGGTTAGTACCGTTGCCTCGCAGCTAGAGGGTCGCCGGTTCTCTTCCCGGTGAGGACACCCGGGATCTTTCTGTGTGGAGTCTCCATGTTCTCCCCGTGCAGCGTGGGTTCTCTCCAGGTTCTCCGGCTTCCTCCCACACAGTCCAAAAACATGCTGAGGTTAATTGGTGATTCTAAATTGTCCGTAGGTGTGAATGTGAGTGTGCTTGGTTGTCTGTCTCTAAGTGTAGCCCTGTGATAGACTGATGACCTGTCCAGGGTGTCCCCTGCCTTCACCCTGAGTCAGCTGGGAGAGACTCCAGCCCCCCATGACCCTAGTGAGGATTAAGCGGTGTATAGATAATGCATGGATGGAAATAGTGAGTTTAACATGGGCTGAAAGAACAGACAGAGACAGATATCTGTGTATGAAAACATTTATTTATTATAGGCTAATAAAGAGATCACATGTACTAACTATTACAGTTTGAAAACAGATGACCCCACTTTTCAATTAGCTTTTTTTGTTTGTTTCTGACATCAGGACAGAGTGACTTGATCTGTCATACATCCAAAATACAAAGAAGGAAACCAGTTATGTCGATAAATAAAAAGTTAACCCTAAAATTCCTACACCTTTTTTTTCTTTTTGGCAAAGTGCTGTATTATTCCAGTAAACTACACGAAAAAAAGCAAAAATGTCTAACACTTGGTGAGAAATAAAAATGCCACAAAATATTCTTCACACTTAAAAAATAAAATAAAAACAGGAGAAAAAGAGGTTTTTTTTTGCTACATCATTCTGTCTGGTTTTTTGTTGAGTCATTATAAAAGCTGTACACTGGCTGGGCGGATGGTGGCAGCGGTGAGAGCGTACGAGCTTCCTCCAAGTGATGCATAGTTGGTTTCTGATGTCTGTTTGTGTGTTTTTTTATTTACTACGTCCGCTCTGAACGTTTAACAAAAAAAAAAAAAAGAAAGAGAGAGAGATAGAGAGAGTTCAAGTTCTTCATTGATGCATTGTCATTACAACATTTCAACCTGGAAGGCACGTGATCCACAAATTTCAAGGCATTGAACAAAAAAAATATTACAAATCCCTGTTAGTCTGATGATGGAGAGATGAGCTGAGAACAGAAAACGCGTAAAAATGTTTTAAGGCTCCCGACAGCAGGAAAAGCCGTTAACATCTCCTCCGATCCCTTCTGTCTTTAAGTTTGTCTTTTTCCAAAATAAAAACATCGTAGTAACACAAAATTCATGATTGCAAAGCTCGATAGTAGAGAGAGAAAGAGAGACACATTCGAGAAATCAAAGAAAAGCTTAAAAACACCAGAGACCCACTCCACTATACGATTATTTACAGCGAACCACACGGATGCCTAACAAACGTCTGCTAGTGCTTTCTGAATAATGCTACCTTCGTATCAACACAACCAAAAAACTAGTCAGATTTTTAATGGAGATACAAGAACCACACTGCACGACAGTTCCGTCAAAAGTGACTGAATATTTTCTGACCGTTTTGTTTTATGTTTGTTTGCGTTCACACTGCACAGACCTCGACATATTGCGTCAGCTTAAACGGGATCCATTCCCTGAACGTCCACATTAAACAGACCTACTTAATCGTTTTCTGTCGATGCGTTGGATCAGCAAAAACGTGAGCCCTTCGTCTGTTTCGAGAACACAATAAATAATTGCAGCCCATTTCGGCAGGAAAACGACAACAGCTAGCAAATTAAGAATGATAAAAACACTGGTGTAAGTCAAAACGACTGTTTCAACTTCACTCAAAACGTTAGTCTTCCTAACCGTAGCTTCCACTAAGTCAAAAATCTTGAGAAATAAATGTATGGATTTTGACTTGTTCATTTTGTTCCTAACATTTAATCTGCTTTGTTTTAGTTTCCGTCTTTTTTTCCTGGCAGTAATTAGTCCGTAGAGCTTTGATTGATTTCTTTCCTCCTGCAGTGTGGTTATTCAGCCCGGGCTCCACTTTCCCTACAGCAGACACATTAAAAATATGAAACAGTCCACTATTTCAGAGCACCGAGGCCAAGAACTGTTAAGCAACACTTAAAAAAAACAACAAAACACAAAAAGAACATCAGTAATAATAAACTAGTGAAAGGTTAAAGATCACTGCTACTTTTTTGGTTTAAATATTTTTAACAAAATGTAACTAAGTTAACATGGAAAACAGAAGAACAGTTAAAATAGCATAAAGTACAATTCTAAAACCATGTTAGGTACACTTGAGCAAATGAGAAAAAAATATATATATAAACATCGCTGAAAAAGACCAACAGTTTCTCTCCATCTCGATGGATTCCCAACAGTCGACTGACAGCGTCAAAGAGTTCGTTTTTCACAGTCCTGGGACCAAACAAATAAGTTTCTCAGACACTAAACTAAAAGTCAATTATCTCTTACAAACATTTTCACGAGGGCTAAGCTCGCAAGGACAGAGCTGGAAAAGTCCGAGCAACGCGCAAAGAATCATCAGCCGTCAAGTAAATCTGCATTTTCCTAAAGTGTAAAGGTGATTGGTTGTGACCCTGAGAAGTGGACTGCAGATTCATTTAAGAACAAACAAGAAAAAAAATAATCTTTTTCCATTTTCTTTTTTTTTTCTTCCCACCATCATGACACTAACAACTCTACAACCATGCAACAGATTGCACACTAACATAACCAAACATACCTAAGCAAGAAACCATAGACGCATATATACCAACTTCATACTGATATGTAATTAGTTTTTTTCTTTTCAAAAAAATATTTTGGAAGTTTTTTTTTTATTACATACATTTTGTATTTTTTTTTTTTGTACATTTCTATCTCAAAGCTACCGTTAAAACAAGGCGTTTAGTGATATTTAACCCAGTAATTTTTACCGTCTTTTTTTCTTTTTTTTTGCTTTTCAAAAAAATATTGTGAAAAGTACTGAATTATAAAGTCAGAGGCAGGTTCAGCCGGCGTCACAGGACGAGCGATGAGGGAACGTTAACAGAACGGTGGCGCTGCAAGACTCGAACTAATCCCCCAAAAAGGCTTTAACACTGTTTAGATTCAGTTTTTTGAGGTCGTGTTTTGCTTTCGTGGCTTCATTTGTAACAGTAGTCTTTATTTTAGTTGATTATTTTGCAAATGGTCGGTCGAGTACAGACGTGAGGTCGAGTGGATTATAAAGCAAAGGGATTCTTTTTACAGCAACAATCACAAAGGAGGAAACGCGTTGAAGCTACAAGTGTCTACAAGGGCAGTTAAAAAGGCAAAGCAGCTACAGTACGTGGGTCGGGTATGTGAAAGATTCAAATTTGGTTCAAGCTCTCTGTTCTGTCTCTCGGTTCTCGGTCACGACACCCTGTGATCGCAACGTCTTCATATCTGGCTCGTGCTTAAGTTCTTCAATATTTAAACATACATGAAGGTGGAGTGAATGTCTCGTTGAAACCGTCGCAGCGACTAAAAGAAATTACAACATCTAAAGTGTTAAAAGAGAGAAATACCCGAAAGCTGGATTAGGAAAGTAGTTTATGTTTAAAGAGGCAGTGATTTAGTATTGCACTTTCAAAGAGGCTCAAATATGGGCTCAAAATATTGTAGTTTTTTTAAAAATATAAAGCTCTAAAATGCCACATTAGGAAGGCAAAACTTTTAGCACAATTAGTAGGAATAAACGTGACTCGAGGGGATTTTTCCTGTTATAGAAACCCAACTACGACAGCAGCCACCACTGTGAATTTCACTGCAGATACCGGAAACTGTTTTTTTGGGGGAGAGGCAACTGTGCTCGAGGCTCCATCACAACAATCCTGCACTGATTAAATGGAAACGTTGCGCTGCTGCACGGCACATGTTCAAGTGATTTACCATCCAGAATATCTCCTGCTGGTCTTGTCAAGTCACCGGCCAATCAACCGTCACGCTGCGATGCTACCGGGACGTCCCGTCACGGCCTGAACCTGCCACTGAATAAAGTGACCTACAGCGTTGATTCTACACATTAAGGTTTTCGTAAAGAACAAGAAGAAGAAAGAAAGAGAGAGAGAGGGTGTCGCTAGGACATCTCTGTCTCTCTGTGATTGGACACAAACTGGTCCAGAGAAACAGAAGTCGGGGGGAAAGAGGGAGGAGGAGGCGCTCATGATGACCTTTTTCCTTTCACATCCCGTCTTGTCAGCATCGATATGAAAGTAAGATGGATGGATAGATGAAGAGAAGGAAGAGGGAAGAAACTCTTCACTGGCCACATGTCCTGATATAATGAAAAAAAAAAAATAACACACCAGCCACGTTCCCTATTTCACCGTCCAATCAGATTTCAGAACAGATCAGGTGTGAGCGGTGGCTGATGATGTGATTAACTTGTTGCTGGTGTTTGTTTCTTGGTAAGAAGAAGAAAACAGAGGTGGGTGTTTGTGGGTGGCCAGTGTTAAATTCCCGTACTGCTTGAAGTATTGAGGTTGATGATGATGATGATGATGATCAGGACCCCCCTCAGAAGTTGAGGTGTCTCTGGCTGGGCTGGTGCAGGTGCATGTTGCTGGCCTTGGGAGGGCGCAGCAGGTTGAGGCGGCGCAGGGCCTTGCGGGACAGCGGCTGGGTGCGTTGGGTGCCGTTACCCGGCCGCTGCTGCAGGAGGTCGGGGTGGGAGGAGAGCGCGGCGGCGTAGCAGGTGGAGTGGAGGCTGGAGCGGCGCTGGACGACCGCCACCTCTGGCCTGCAGGGGGCGAGAAAGACGGGACGCAGGGAGGATCAGCTGACTGACAGAAAACTGTAAATGATTTTGTTGATAAAGTCATTCTCTGGTTCCTCTAATGTGAGGATTTGCTGCTTTTTCTCTCTTTCATACTACTGAGGATTGAGACCTCTGATGCTGATTTCTAGCCCAACTGACCACCGCAGGGCTCCGGTAAGAGAGCACGCAAGACATCAGTTAAGGTGTTTAGAACTTCATGAATATAGCGGTGCATTCTGGGTACAGAGCAGTTTCTGGACGTATAACAAGAAATAAGGGGCTAAATTATCACTGTGTAAATGCAGTAAATAAACACTGACAGTAAATGGAAAATACATTCATGCCAATATCAGCATCTAACATTCATTAGCACTGCTTCAGCCTAGAATCACGCAGCATATACATATAAACTGGGAGTAATCTGAGGCAGACGGAGCTATACAACCAACTCAGTTAGCCTAAATGATGCTTAAATATGCCAAAGAGTGAAAAACGGACATTTCAAGGAGCTCCAGCGCTGACAGAAGAGGTCAGTGACATGTACATATTCATTTCACATCACTCTGAACGTAGCTTAGATCATCAGTGAGTGCTGCATCACTGTACCATAAATACTTGATTAGAGTCTGATGTGTTGCCAAATTTTCAAATTTGTGCCATGTCTTACCTGCTGTTCAAATTTGAGGTTATAAATCACCGAAAGTGACGGTCATCTTTTACTTTTGCAACGTGCGCATCACTGCCGGCCACTGACAAGACACTACGGATGGATATTAGATAGTAGATTAAAGCTCTGTTGTGCTGTGTTGTGCATTTTCCTGTCACACTGTCAGTGAATAAAAACTTAAAATCAACAAAAGTGACAAAATAATAAAACAAAATAAGCTTTAAGTTATGAAAAGTGATTCGTACACAATCCAACTCTTGGCATACGACTGCTGGTTCTGTCCACTTGGACTTTAGTCAGTGCCTTGATTCAATATGTATTTGCTTTTGTAATAATATGCAATGATTTTTATTCCAATTCTTGTTTTAATGCAGCCACAACATCATCATCAGCTCTCTCAGGACTTTACCTGTGACGAGGGCCCTCCAGCGTGCGTCTCGCCTTCTCCTTTCCACCAGAGGCTGTCGGGGTGGCAGGCGTGTTGCCGGACAAGAAGTCCAGCTCCCGGTCAAGCGAGCGTCGCGGCAGGGGGTCGAGGTTCAGTCGCGGGGGGCTGTGGTGGGCGTAGACGGACATGCTGGGGTGTTCGATCAGCAGGTTCTCCAGAGGGCTGGTTTCCAAGAGGATGGGTTTGCTGCCGCGGCCGGTGAAGCAGGGCGGAGGGGTGACGAACCAGCTCTCCTCCAGAGAGCAGGCGTCCAGGCGCAGGAACCCGCCCTCTTCCTCCTCCTCGTACTCATCGCCGTCCTCGTCCTCCTCCGCACCGCCGTCCGGGTCGGTGTCGGCCGTGGAGTTGAGAGAGGTGCAGGAGGCGTAGCGGACGGGGGGGCTGGCCATGGGGGAGGGAATCATCACCAGGTCCTCCTCCTCCTCCCCTTCCTGAGGGCTGGCGGTGGATCCAGCGAGGCCGTCGCCACACTGACCAGAGCAGGCGTCAGCTGCAGGGAGAGGACGAGGTGGAGTTAATGGTCTGATCCATCAAATACTCACTGAGGATTTTATTCACTCTACATAACAGAAACTATTAAAGTGCCAAAGATTTGAAAAACAGATTTTCTCACTATAATTTTTTGTAATACAGTGAAAAAAAAAAAGGATAAAAAAAACTTCAACCTCCAACCTAAAAATTTTAATTTTGCTCTTGATGTCAAAAATAAACACAAAATTGATTCTTGATTAAGTAAAAAATAAATAAAAATGATTAAATTAACATATTGTCTGCCAACCTATTATTTAATATTTTAATATTTAGATAACTGATTTATTAGTTCAAGTAATTTTTAAGAAAAAAATCAGAAATTCTCTGATTCTAGCCTGTTAAATTTTAAGTTTTTATTAACTCTAATGACAGCAGCATGAAAGTCTTTAGGTTGTGCACATAGTAAGATGTTTTAGGACGTCATCTTCGGCTTCACTGACATTTTAAAAAGCAAAAAACTCATTAAATAATCAAGAAAATAATGAAAAGATTATTCGACATTAAAAATGAATGTCGGTTATATCCTTAATCTTGAGGACATCAAGAATATTTTAGGAAACTCTTGCTTCTTTCACTTGTTTTTGTCAACATGCCCTTTACTGCTTCAGCTGTTGTTTTGCTTTGGCTTCATATGAAACACACGTGCAGTGTCTCCAGTCTGCCAGCAGGCGGCACTGTGGCCTGTCCATGCAGTAGCCGGGACACTGTCAGATGTAAACAATAATTTTCTGGATGCTAAGCAGACAGGGAGCGGTAGACGGGCCGGCAGCCTGACAGCTCAGCATTGCATGTCTAAGTGAAACCACAGGCTGCACGCACGTTTCTATCCGTTTGTGTAAACACGTCTGAGCGCCGCTAAACCTATCTCACACCAACACAGCAGCCCAGTCTCCTCACAGCCACCCGACCCCTTCCACTCTAGTTTCATCTGCAACAAGCAGCAGAAACAACTGCTGCACTTAAATCATCACGCACTGTAAACCTGCCAGCATCCTGCTCTGCTAGACATCCAACTCTGCGACGTGTAACTGGAGGCTTTGTTAAGAGCTGCAGGTCAGGCTCTTGTTTTGATCCAGCATCTGCCTCCAATGATTCACTGAGACACAGGAAGTTATGAGGTGGAAAAGCAACACGATCTCAAGCCTAGCAGACTGGACGCTAAAAATAACCAGTCGACTAAGCAGATGTCTCTGTTTGATTTCAGTTCTGTTTAAGGACATGCTATTTTTTTCCCCCACTGGTCAAATAAAGCCTGTAAATAACAGGATGTATTTTATCTATATCGAACCCTGCACTGTTTCATTTTCTTACCCAACAGCTGTAGGAAAGTTTAAAGTTCAGAAACTCCACACCTCTATCGCGTCGTCTCTTGACCTCTGCCCTCACTGTTTACTGTATGCATGCAGCCTTGTTTGTTTCCATGCATGTGAGCGCGTTTGGAGCTCGTTTCCACACGTGACACAAACTCAATCCGGGGGCTCCGACTTCCAGGAGTTCACAGAGGAGTCCTTGTTTACCGACAACAGGTCGGAGAGGCTGCAAAGTGCTGACTCAGTGCCCAGCAGCTGATCTGCACCCTTTATCCTCTCAGCAGCAGCAGCAGGACTGCCCTCTCTGTCCGAGTCCATCAGCAGCTGATCTCTTCCTGCAGAGGCTGCAGGCGCTTTTGGAAAACGGAGCAGGTTCAGGTGTGCAGGGGGTCAACCGAACAACAGGCCTCAACAGCAGGAGCGAGGCCCTGTTTGTTAGGAAGGGCCAGCAGTGTTTTGGACGCTCTGACTGGCGGCGTGTTAGGTTAATGAGGTCGGTCTGGATTATAAATGAACCAGCTGACCTTCCACATAACTCTCTCTCCTCCGTGAAACACAAAGGTTCAAAGTCTGCAGGGTTTCACTGGAGCAAACAAGTGACTTCACATTCAGCCACATTCATCCGACTCTTTATCTTCTGTTGCCAAATTTGCAACATTCAAGCTGGGTTTTGCAACAGCATAAGTCACTCTTGCTCACTTTTTCCACAAAGAAAACGTGCACGCGTTTCGTGCGTGAGCTGGGAGGACTTGCGCATTCAGCGAGATTTTGCAAACGTGACGCTGCAACCATGTGCAATTTGCATGCAAGTAGTGTTTGAAAATAACTTTCGTAAGTCTGCCTCGTGGATCTCGGGACCTTAAGACCTCGATGTGCTCCAAAACACAGACGTGCGTGCAGCTATGTGTACACCACCGTCTACGTATGCTGGCATGTTGGCACGTGTGCAGCTGGTATGCATGGGTCATAAACATTATGCTGTACACAAGTCTGCAAGATGACGAGGCAAAGCGACGCAGCAAAGCAGTAAAAAGAGTTGTTTTCCTACAATGTGGAACCACAAAACTCTTAGATAATAATTGTCATCATATGTATAGCGAGGCAGCTAAATCCTGACTTCATAAATGATGTTGTCCCTCAGATTTTTCATGCAAATACATTTCATTTAAGAATGCCGCCATGTATGTATGTATGTATGTGTACAGTTGAATCATTTGTTGATGTAATGCAAAACCTTTTTAATGACAACCTCCCTGAGCTTCTGTGCAATGATTGAAAAGAATCAGATGTTATTTAAAGCTTTCTTTTGGTGGAAAACTGAAACATAATAGTTTGTAGCAGCAGCTTTATCAAAGCGATTACTGCAGTACAAAATTAGATTATTTCAAAAAACAATGCTGCTTTATTTAGATCTCCTAACGGACAACAGCCAACAAACCATTTCAAAGCCAGAGCAGTCTTCCAGTCTAAGTTTTAGATATTCTTGTGCAGAACTCAGCGGGACACAACTTTACGACGGGAGAAACACAACCCCGTATCCAGGTGTGTTCTGTGGAGGAATGTCAGATGCAGCACTGTGCCCATACATGTCCACCTCCACTGGTCCAAAATGGGAACCACCGGGATCTATTTTTACTCCATCTGGCTCCTCTGGTGCTTTTGTTTGACCTGTTTACAGGTTGACTTGCCCATAAACTGCCTGAAGTCCAACCCCCCTTTCCCCCTCCCTCATCATCCAGCCTCAAGTGGGCCAGACGGCCTGTGTTTCTCCCCCCTCCTGCCTGAAATATTCACACGGCTGTGGAATCAGAGACGGGTCAAGTTGAGTCAAGACCGGCTGCAGGTGAACAGTGGGGCAAAGCGAAGCTGTGCCAAGATTCACTCGGAGCCGTTTGGAAGTCACTGCAGTGTGTCATGTTTCTGTATACAGTGTGTGTGTGTGTGTGTAGGTGTGTGTGTGCGAGGCTTGTTGAACTTCTCTCTGTGTCGTGTGTGTTTTGACTGCAATCTTTTTTTGGTCGCAGACAGTTCTGGAAACTTGGCTCGACTTTTACCTGCCATTACAAAACTCTAAAGTTATACAGTATCTTTCCTTCCAACCTGTGGCGGTTTATTTTCTCTCTGCACATAAAGTGGAGTCGCTTTAGTTTAAAAAAAAAAAAAAAAAAAAAAGATACGAACAACTCCAGACTTTTTCACAAAAGTCACAAATGTTTTAGAAACACATTCAGATGGTTTTGTGCTCACATCTGAGGTAAAGTTGTTTCTTTTTCCTTTCGCTTTGCTTCTTTGCTCACACCGCCAGCTTTATGATTCGTGGTCCACCGGCTTTGTGCGCTAAAGTTGCCTCCTCTGACATTTCAGGAAGTCCTGCATCTGTCACTTTTTCCCCTATTTGTACTGCTGCAGACTGACTTCAAAAAGCACTCAAGACGGTTTAACAATAAACCTGCAGAGCTGCTAAAAGACGTTGGGAGAGTTTTAGAAAGCCCAGTGTGAAACTGGAGCAGACCAATGTGGTGTCGATGAAGTCACATTTTATTTAGTTGACAGCATTTTAATGAGAAACTCACATCATCTGACAGCTGAAGTGAGTTAATCAAGTCTCAAAGTTATTTTTAACATAGCTGCAGGTCAGCGAGTGTGTTGTTACTTCTGCATAAACAGCTGAACTGTGACCGTCAAAGTCTCTGTTTACTGATTACTTTGTGTTATGTCATCACTGTGCCCATTTAGTGTGTTGGAGGACATCATTTTAGGTACCTAGTAACAGGTTTTGTCTGTCTATTCTAAGTAGATGCAGTTTAAATGAAAGCCTGCTGATCGGTGTCTGGTGTCTCCGTCCGTCAGACTCACCCAGGTAGTTAACCAAGATCCAGTCTTCATCCTCCTCATCCTCCTCTTTCCCATCTCCAGGTCTGCTGCATCGACTCAGCTCCTCCACATCGTCCCCGAACAGAGCGCTGGCGAACCTCTGGAACATGCTGGGACTTCCTGCAGGGGCCTGAGGCTGAGGGAGGGGGTGTGGGAGGCGCGTGGCTCGGGGCGACGGCGGGGAGGCGTTGCGGTCACTTTGGTCATCAGCTGCGGGGTTCACAGCAGGGGGAAGGCTCCAGAAAGGTGCTAAAGTGCATCAATGATGTGTGGTCATGGATCATCTGAGGGCCAGCAGGCGCAGGCTGGACATCGCTCAACGTCAGGATCGCTTCAACGAGTGCAAAAGTACAAAAAAAGCCCTGAGAGGAGACAAGAGGGACACAATATGTCAATCAACGGAGCCCTGCTGAATCACCGAGCTGCTTTTCTAACTCCACAGCAAGTCTGAGATCAATCAATTACAAGTCATGCAACCATTTCAGGTATCTGTATTAATGTGACACATGATCTAAAAAATCTATTCCTGGAATTACAAAACTTCAAGTTCTTTCAATACACAAGACTAATACTGATTTGCAAGCGGTGGGCTCATGCACACTTCCTGAATAAAACTCAGTATGTTGCAGTATCTTAGCTTTTTATGATTCAAAGTTATATTACCTAAAATGCTGGCAACTGGGGGCCTGCAGTGGATTCTAATAATACAACATCTAACATATTTATCACCTTATAAAGCTGTTGTGGCTAACTAATGTTAGCAGACAGTTGTCTACTTCAACATCCAGCAGATACAGAGCAACACGATCCTCCCCCTTAAGTGTTGTGTACAACCAATATTAAGTCCAATACTCATTGCCTCGCAGTCTTTTTTAAGGCCTGCACCAACTCCTGAGGGATCTGGCTCTTAATGCTCCAATTTCTTTTGCCAAGTGAGCTACGGCTGCCTGCTGGCTTGAGCAGAACTTCCTGGTGATGCTGGAATTGCAGAGACAGTAAATGTGCTGCAAAAACAAAACTAAGAGCAAAGAAAGAGGCTGGAAAAGGCTCGTGTATGATCTGGAAACTAATCTTTACAGCTCTGGCTTCAGAGATAAGAGCGTTTGGCTCCCATTTGTCCGAAGCACACACCGTGTTTACAGTGTTATTTACAGTGAAGACGAGAAGCGAATTTGCTGTGTGCAGGGATTTTTGTTCCAAAATAGAAAATATGGGTCAGGCAATGATTATGAAAGCCTCACCTGGCAGCCAAGTAATGATTAGGTTACCGGTAACCTTATTAGCCCCTACAGATACTGTTAACGCTGTACATATAGAATTGCAGGCCCACAAATACATCTGGCCTTTTAATATTCATGAGTATTTTGTAACAGTGAGACCAGGTCTGCATGGTGTGGTTTATATTTATTTATTTCTCTCCTTATGTTTTGATTTTTGTAGCCCTCTCAAAAACAAGATTTGGATCTAAAGCAAACAGTGGAACAAAAAAGATGAATCACTTTCCATTTGAAAGCTTTGTTCCTGAATCGCAAAGAGAAGTCTTTAGTACGACAGTGGCCTTTACAGCAACACAGGAAACAGCATTTAGATTTCTGCATAAAGTGCAGTTTTAGTTACCCTCATCTTCTACATCTGGCCACTTTAGTGACTTTTTGGGGATTTCTAAACCAAAACATAATGCACAAATAAACCAATAATGACAATAACTGTTGCAGCGATAGCTTAAAGACTATTTCCTATTTTCCTGTCTCCTCTTTGGTACTGCAGCGACTCTGACGTCTGGTTGTAAACGTTCACAGGTGCTGCTTTTACATGCCAAGCATCACGTCCTCATTCCTCATAAAAGATGTCAGGAAAGAGCCCGATAAACGCACTAATGCACCTCAGATAAATGTTGTCTGCTGCACAGACTTTAATGACCATCCTGTTAATAATCGCCTGTGAACGCACACACATCCGGGGTTGTAAAGCGGATCACCACCACTGGTTTAATTTCCTGTCAGGCCTGGCGAACGCGACCAGCAGCTGCAGCTTCTTCGGTTATTGATCTGATAGAAGCGAGAGGCGCTGTCCTGTCTGTGTCTTATTCACGGGTAAATAAAGAGATCTGCTGTGCACACAGACGCAGCCAGATGACAGAGTGTCTGCTGCACTTTGTACTGGACAGGCTTCCACGCTAAGAAAGCAAAATGAGAGATGATGGGGGTCACTGTCCAACTGCAGCTGCTGTGTAAATGGTATTCACTGGCACAGTAAGTGTGCAATCACCCCCTTTTGTCCTTTATTTTACAATTGGAGTTGACTTGAGCGTCTCTAAACAAGATCCTCTGACTGACCAGCTGCACAAAACCAGCTGAGAGAAGCTCTGAGCTGATTAAAAAACAAAAAATTCTTATCTGGATTGTTTTTTTTTAATGTAGAGGAGGAGTGAATGGTCTTTTTTAATCTGCATTTTCCTTGTTGAGCTACACACGACCCTCTGAGTGGTGGCGCTGTTGGAACCATAAGCAGTGAGTCAAGTAGCTCTGCAAACTCAAGAAAATAATATCTGTAATCTAGGTTTAAATCAACAAAACTGCAGTATAATTTGACTGTTAGATGACTGTCATTAACCATAATATCCTTAAAGAAAACAGACACCAGAGTTATATAAAGAAAGAAGAGAGGGCTATATTTTTTTAACATGAAATGTCAACATTACATGCTTCTATAAATCAAAGTAAATTTAAATTGAAGTAGTAATATAGTAGAAAAATGGTAACAAATGTCATCATTACAGCTGTTTTCTGTTGATAAACTGACGACAATGTGTATAAATGCTGCATTAAGTATTAAATTAGTCTCTAAAGTATCTAAAGAAGCTCGAGTTACAGCTGTTTATATGTTGTGCTATAATTTATTATTTTACATGCTAATCAAAAATGATCAAACAGTAATGATCGTTTTTATTTCCCACCAAATCACATGTAATTTTAGTTTCCCCTCGTTTTAAAAATAACAGGACATTCCTGTATTGTGTGTTTTTGTATAACGGATTATACTATTAGCATGTAGGCTAGTTGGCACAAAAATGCTCGTATTCACCACTAGGAGGCTAAAGCAACCGTTTACCCTGAATCTAAACTGGTTTGAACGCTGCATCGACAGCTGACTAGTCGAAACTCGAAATGCCCGATTTTTTCCACCGACACTTAAACGCGCAGTGAATTCGAACAAAACGAGCTGCCGTCGACTGTGATGCGTTCACGGCTTTGCGTGTCGGCTCGTTTTTTTCTATTCGCGTGAAGAAGTAAACAAAAGCGCTCTTCATTTCAAGAACAGCCAAACTCCGCCTCTGTAAACATCGAGCAGCTGTGACGAACTGAAAACAGAAAAAGGTTTTAACTCGAGTGTCACACCGACAAGCAGCAGGCTTGATAATCTGCTGCACCTGTTTCTCCTCCACTATTTACCCCCCTGCTCCTCCGCCTCCTCCTCCCTGACGGGACATTTCAGGGATAAATACGAAACATGATTGTGTCCTTCTCATTATAATCACCACCTCGCACAAAGAAAAGCTCCCGATTAATGGCGATTAATGTCGCTAAACGGGTCACTGAGTCATGACTGTGGCTCGCGACTGAACAACGCAACTGATGCATCTATTACATCAGCCCCTGTATTATTTATTTATTCGCGTGTTAAAGAGCACGCAAGAGGGGGTAGACTGTTATAGAAATCCGTAAATCTGGCATCTTAGTAAGTGGGGTGTAGGATTAGTAAGAAACCACAGTGGATGCCCCATAATCAGGAGGATAAAACACAGATTACACGGTTTTAGTCAGAAAACAGAGTTGCTTAGACAGCAACTTTAAATTGCAGTAAGTGGAGTATGCTCATGAATAGTGTCTGCTTTAATAATTTGATGTTGTTTAAACCTCCAAACGTATTAATATGGCTATTTATTAATGTATAAAATGTCAAAAAAAAAGTGAAAATAGCCATCACAAGTTCCCTTTAACGGTCATTCGCCCTATCGATTAATCTGTCATTAAAATAAAGCTTTATTTATTTATTTTTTATTTTTGTCAGAACATATGAAAAACTATGCTTTATAAGTTCCTCAATGCTCATCTTATTTTTTGTATATTTTTATTTATTTTTTGTCAATTCCCACTTTGGCAATGATTAACGCCCAATCAATTAATTTGTCAATAAAATAAATCCCTCTCTCTATTTTTTTTTGTTTTTGGTCAGAAAATATGAAAAACTATGCTTTATAAGTTCCTCAATGCTCATCTTAATTTTTTATTTTATTTTTTTTGTTTGTTTTCCCAAATACCTAAAACGTTTGACCTTAAAGCAGCATAACTTCATTGTGGAAAAGCCTACAAATGCTTGACCCCCCAAAAAAGACGAATTACCAAATCTGTTCTCGTTTAAATTCCCTGTCGATGGTCCGCCAACTCCTTCGGTACTAATGTGATTTGCCAAACAGTCTGTGGGGGAAAAATGCCAAAGTGGTCCAGGAATAATGTGGAGCAGCAGCAGCAAGCTGTGAGCGTCGGACGGTTTTGATGGTTAAACAAGGGAAGGGGAGGAGGTTGTAATTCTACACTAGCAGGGCTGGACCGCATAGTCTGGCTGCCTGCTAAACTTCTATCTCCACTAAGATGTGATAGAACAAATTTTCCACAATATACATGCAACTTTTGACAGTCGAGTTGAGAGAAAACGGCAAGTTTTGCAAAGCTAAAACTGCTAAAGCTAGCTTAAAAATGCTAGCAAGATTAAGCTAATACGACACAGTAAAGCCGAATAAAATGCAGAGTTGAGGTTAAACGACTCGCCGTAGCTCGCTTTTAAATGTCTATTTCTTAAAGCATAAAGTGTCTCGACTGTAATGCAGAAGAAAGAGACAACAGGGATCAAAACAAGAGACAACAGAGCCGTTAACGTCCATCGAGAAGAAAACAAAGAACCCACCTGCGGCAGAAGGAGGAGATGTAAACGAGCTCAAATCGTGATTAAAATCCTTAAAACTGAGGTAGACACGTTACTTTTCGAAAAATAGAAAAACTTGAGGTTTCTTCGCGGAAGAAATAAAATATAAAAAACGTTAATTTATGGACTGTACATCGGGAGTCACAGTGCGGTTGAGCCTCTCTTCTCTCTTTTTTTTTCTTTCAGTCCGTTTCCTCCTCGGTTCCCCGACTGCGCCTTCTTTTGTTGTTGTTGTGGAGCTCCAACAGCTGATCGCCGTGACGTCGACAAGGACAGCCTATCGCAGGGGCCGTCCCCGGAGCGGCTCGGCCAATCAAAACGCCCGACAGGGGCTGTCACTAACCCACGTGATAATCCCCCCTCCTCCTCCTCCTCCTCCTCAAAAAAGGGCATGACTGGGCAAAGAGCTGCAACAGGACTAAATGTGGGCTCCCTCCCTCAAAAACACAGGCAGATGTTACATAAGCAGCCCGACGTCCGGGTCGAGCTGCTGGGCTTCCTGTTTTCTAAGGATCCACCCACTCCATCAGTGCCAACATTTTAGAGAAATATGATCCCGAAGTTTGCATAATGGAGTCATAAAACATTCACAGCAAAAGAAAACAACAAGTGGAAGTTTTTGGAACACCTTTGATCAGATGTGGATGTTATTGCAAACCTGTGCATCACTGAACTTCTCTAAGGACATGATTCCAGGGTTATGTAATTGTAAATGCTCAGACTAATTTGCTAAAGGGGCCAACGACAAAGTTTTGCCCCTTCGTCCCTGGTATACGTGGCACTTTAATTGTTTCCTCAGTTTCGTAGAACCAACCAGGATTCCAGATATATAGCAAAAAAAAAAAGTTTGTTGAGCAGAAAGTTGATGAAAACAGCTTCTCAAATGTGATTTTTTAAAAAGATCTTAAACACTTTTTTTGTATAGTTTGACAAAGTGAAACGAGTTGAATGTGTTAGCTTCGGCTTGAGGAAGACGGTTAGTGGAAGAAATATTTATTTTGATAATGAAGACAGTTGTGGATTGCATTCTTACGGGACGTCTGTGATGAAATATTGATGTTTATGTCTGTTCAGTACTTGACAGACAAAAAAAAAGCAAAAATACAAAACTACAACGACACTTAAACTAAATGAAGAATCAGGGTCTGATGTGGTTGATTCTTCCTCTTTATTACAGAGGGACGCATTTCTAACAAAGTAGTTCTTTAGCGTGCGGTGCCCCAGAAATGATAATAACTGGCAGATGGTGAAAAGCAGTCACAATGTAAATTCAGTGTTTTCTGCTGCATCTGTGGATTTTTTAAAGCTTTATTTAACCAGGAAATGGCTCACTGAGATTAAAAATCTCTTCTTCAAGAGTGTCCTGGCCGAGACAGGCAGCAGCACAACTGACAGATGAGGCCACAACAGCATCCACACAGACATCATAACACACAAGAAATCAACATATCAGTACTGATCAGAAACATAACTAGCAAAATAATCATCTGTCCAAACATCTACAGGCTGATGTCTCTGCCTCCACGTCATTTAGGAAGACTTTAAAAGTATTTAAAGAGACCAGCTCTTGAAGCTTCAGGTCTTATTGTAAAGTGTTCCAGGTAGAGGGAGCAGCGAGTTTCTTTCCCCGTTCAGTTCTAGCCTTAGGAACAGATCCTGGAACTGCAGACTGTAACCACTTGGAGCTTTTGTACAAATAAAAACCTGTACATAACGAGGAAGCAGGCCTAACATACATGTATAGATTCAAATATGTCAGTGTTTTTTCCTTCGTGTGGACACATCTGAGCATCAAACACAAGAGTACAACAAACAATGATGAGTAAAATACTTACACTGAATCTCAAACACTCAGGCTTTGAGCTGAAGCATTCACATATACCGTGTCTCCATGGTCCAACGCAGATGTAAAAGTGGCGGCAACAAGTCTCTTTTTGGCCTCAGAGGACAGGCAGCAGTGATGCTACTTAATTGAGGATAACAGTACAGTTTTTCTGTATTTGTCTTAACTCTGAGATTGCATCATCCCTACTGACACCCCCAACCACTAGTGTCTCTTATTATTCCACCACCATTGTTATTGCTAATCCCCTTTGCCTTTTGTAACTATCTGCCAGAGCCCTCCTCACTCTCTTACCATTTGTTGTCTATCAGATTGTTTTGTTAAATCGCCTTTTGTTCTCTCCCCCTCATTGATTAGCAACTATTTAGGTCCCCAAACCCCCCACTGATTCCGCTCAGCTCTGGTTCTTTGTTCTCTCACCTCCTGTCATTGATTAGCAACTACATTCCAACTAACCACCATTCGCTTTGGTATTTACTCACAGCCCCTCCGAGTGTAACTCCGCAAACGTTCGGGGGTCGGCTTACCGTCACAGGCTCTGTGTTGGTGAGCCCACCGTATACCAGAATACCAATAAAGGCAAGGCAGGTTTGTTTGCATCGCACAACTCGTACCTGAGGTAATTCAAAGTGCTTCACACAGTATAAGAAGACAGATCAAATCAATCCATAAAAACATAATCATTGATTTGAAGAGTACAGATTGAACTCCTTTCAGCTCTACAAACTCTCTTCATAAACATCCCATTACAGCAAACGTCACATAAGGACTCTGGGTGCATTTCTTCAACACTTGTCATTGGTTAAATCCAAGTCCTGACTTTAGAATTTGGCAACGAGACAAACAAAACACCACAACTTTCTAACTAAACCGGTTTTCAACTTGAAACAAATAGCTTCCTTATCAGTTATTATATAATTTACTTGTGCATCTTTTAGTTTATCTCTGTCAGAATCCTGCTGGAGTCTCGCTCTCTATGCTGGTGGATGCCAGATATTCTAAGAATGTTTGCTGCAAATTAGCTTTTGTTACATAATTGGCCCTATGCTAGGGCTAGTAGCACACACACATAGCATCACACTCATATATATGTATAATTAAGGCTGGATGTCTCGTCCACGCTCGGTCACACTGGCGGCCATCTTGATTCGGTCCACTCGCTCACCCATAACATTGTGTTGTAGTGGTGCATGTACTTTTTAAATAACCATAACTTGCTCAGGTTTCTACCGATTTTGGTTTGTTATAAACATCAGAGGTGTAGTTATAACACTGCACTTATGGATAATTATGTTACGCTCTCACGGCCAGCAACAATTAGTATTTTAATTATTTTGTATTTTATTTTTATTTTTGTAATTTGAATTGAATATCGTTTGTAAGAAACCAAACCGTTTGTAAATCCGTCAAGATTTCAGCGAGATAAGAGTATTTACGTTTGTGCAGATCACTCACCTTCCTTCACGTACCACAGGTTCCACCAGAGAGCTGCTCCGAATCAAGATGGCCGAAGGGCGATCCCGTTCGAAATGCCGCCTTAAGACATCTAGCCTTCATTATACAGATCTATGATCACACTGACTAGATGAACTGTATTGTATTTTTGCTTCAGTTACACATTTAAACAGCAGGAACAAAGAATCGCTCTGAAGACCTGTGCTCTTGTTTGCTATGAATATTTTATTTCTCTTTGTTATTTGGGCTTATTATAGCTGATAAGTATAAAAGCTAAGTATCACCACAGATGGTAGTGCAAGAGTCCACACATGTGCTCTTAAGGCCCCACAGAATTAATACTGTTAACGACTACTGTTGTGGTGTCTGTGCATGTGGACACCAGGAGGTTAAAAATGAATCAACTAAATAACGTCAGTGTTCACAGGCCACACAGTTTGGTGTGCATCCAACTTCCTGCCAACAGTTTGTGTCTGATCCCTTCCTGTTTCAACATGAAAACACTCCACAAAGAAACCTCATCAGGCAGCTCGTTGTTGTTTATCCGAACATTGAGCAGCAGTGAAGTACAAGCTGATCCCCAACCTGGACCTCCAGCTTAGAAGATGGAGATAAAATCAGGTGTTTGGGTAAAAGCAGCGGCTCAACAGGTTCAACTTTGGAACGGTTAAGTAAGGAAACCCAGCCTTCACCCCCCTCCTACCCCGCCTCACCCTCCCATTGCCCTCCAACTGACCCACAATATGGAGGAAAGGCCATAAGCTCCACACTGCAGATGTTACGTCACGCTCATGTGCATCTCAAACCATGATCTGTTCTTTCTCTGGAAAGCTGTGTTAAGCTGTCAAGATTCTCTCTGGGATTCAATCAAACTACAGACTAGTTCTCAAAAACCTTTACAAGCAGAATATAAGCATGTAATAAAGGCTTTATAATGCACTATAACTGAGTTGTAAGCAGATTATACATGTATAAAGGTTGGAGGACCCCAATAATTGGAGGATGCACACGTAAAAATGTCCTTATATCAATAACACAACATAAAACATGACAAAAATCAGTGATAGAACAGATACAACATGTTAGAAAGATGTTCTCTAGTCTTTGTTTTCCCTCAAAGTAAAAAAAAACTCTCTTGCTCTCTCTAAGACAACTGCGCTGTTCTTGGATTTTTCCATCATCCTCAGATCAGGCTGCAACCTTTTCCCTCCTCACAGCTGGTCGCTCAGCCTGTGAAGACGCACTGCTGCTCAGAATTTAGAAAAAGAAGAAGAAGGAAGAAAAAAAAAAAGCACAACACAGGCCCGTAGTGAGACTCCATCATGACGGCACACAGGAGGCAGATTGATGCCGCTGCAGCTCTGTCACCGTCTGCAGATTCTTGTCTCGGCTTGTTTATTATAATGACAGCAGACATTACAGGCAACGGGCGGAGTCGAAGAACAGGTTAGAGGAGCAGGTATTTCCTCTGAGAGATTATAGGAAAGT